TGAGTGATATGTTAACTGATGAGTTTAACAGGTGTGAAAATACCAAAGTACTTTGTCCCGTCTTTGATGCTGTGGATTTATGTCCCAGGCATGGAGATTTATTTGGTAGCCATTTATTTTATGATGAAGTGTCCCCAAGACTGATGTAGGTAGACGTCTCTGTCATTCTTGGCATCTGGCCGGGGAAGAACTGGATAGATTAAGAAGATGCAGGGTCCAGAGTCAGTCTTCGGACAACTTAAAACAGACACAGACCTCCAGGCGAGAACATTGACTCAGCTCAATGCCTATCTTTTCTGTGTTGAGATACTGGACTCCTCTGCTCAGGCATTTGTTCTAATAGCTGTTTGTAGACTGATGTCTAGTTATCTGTAGACTCGCAGAAGAGTAGGCCTTGGACCTCAGTATAAGATAGACAGACGTGTGGGATACAGCTTCGCTGTAATCAGTTCATGGTTTGAGGCAATTCACACAACAGAGGCATCTTGTTTGGATGAGTATAGAGGAGTAGTGAGTACAAAACATAAATTCATAAAGTCAGGTAATGAGGCATTTGCAGTGAAGCATGGGATAGCAAGTAAGGACTTCCAAATGCAAAACTTGTCCTAGGATAGGACTGCATCAACTCCTGTTTTACTATCAGAAAACTCATTCTGAATCCTTAGAAACCAATTCCCATTGTGACAGTAAGCTACAAAGATAGGTGATTCAAGACAGCAATTTAAAAAAGGCAAATTTTTGGACTCAAGGGCAAAGTTAATTAAATTAACTCATAAGGACATTCACATTTGAAAGATTTAGGACCTAGCAATTTGCCAGAAGTTCAGCTTTTCTTAAAAATACAGTTTTGTTGTTTTTGGAGAAGAACTTTAAAATTAAGGGCTCAGGAATTGAAAGACGAATAAAAGGGTATCCTTTTATTAAGTCCATTATGTTTTTAACTTTAAAGCTAGTCTCATGCTATTGTGGAGTCTGCCACAGTTTGCTGGAAGACTTAAAATAATAGAGGTATAATAAATGTCCTTGAGCATTGTCTGAGAGTCTGATTCCATATGACAAAAAAACATGCTACAAGAACAGTAATTTCTGCTGGCCTCAATTTCCATTTTTAGGTGGCAAGTAATTGGCCAAAGCTACCACATTTCAATTTTTTTAAAAATTATTTTTCTTTCTAATGAATCAAACAGATGGAAGAATTTCAGCCATATCTTCCCTACACTGATAATACATTTGCTTTGTGTACCTGTGGGAGCCAAAAATTACTGTCCTCTCATTTACATGATCAGTTGGGACATTATCTTTTGAATAATCCAAGCTGTAGAGTAAGAAGTACTTCTGCAAAGGGCTTAAATGAAGCTACTGTCAAATTAGTCACCAAGCATCAATTTAGCCCTGAGAAAAGCTCCAGATTAAGACTCCTTTTGTAAGGAGATTTGTTTGGTTGGGTCTTCTTATGTAATGATGATATGCTAATCTAATGTAATCTACTAAAGCCTATACAGTTCTTGTATTTAAAATATAGGCTAGACAGCAGGACCTTTCATGGAATAAGAGCACTAGCATGGCCACACCATAGACATGAGAGCTTGCCTTAGGGTTTTCAAAGGAGAAACCATTTAAAACATAAGTAGAAATAAGGCCATAAACTGGCAAATTTAGCTCTGTTCTCCCATAGAAATAAAACCAGTGTGCTATGGCAGGCTTAATGCTTTTAAGTGTATAGCCAGTTCTCTGCAGAGCTATGTGGGCTTTCTGTATAGCAGCAGGAGGAGCTGTTGAATGTGAAGCCTGACCAAGTCACGAGACAACATGGTCATGATTCGTAGACCTACAGGCTGTCCTCTTCATTGAGAGGAGATCACTGCTGCAGATGATAGCACCCATGGGATGTTTCTGTCAGTGGAGAGGTAGGATTCCTACCTGCAGACATCTTATGCTAGTTTTGCTTCCTGTTGTGTCAAGTTTTCAAGAATTCTGTAACCAAGTAATCATCTGGCTGGTAGTTTTAGAATCAGGTTTTAATATCCCAACTTCATTGTCTGCTTGTTTTTACATATGACTTTAGAAACAAGTCAAGTGTTATATCAGAGCAGATTAGTGGTTTAGCACTATTTCTGACAATGATCAATGCTTTGTGGACACTAAAAACTGCCCAGGATGAGCTTATTGTCCTAAAGCATGAAGTCTCAGAGCACTGAGAACACTTAATCCAAACTACTAGCATTGCAGGTGTTTTTCTTACACTCCTAGGATATATCTCTAAGTCTTTTTTTTTTTAAATTATATTAAGCTCTTTGCCTTCGTCATATTCCAAGCAGAAAACTAAACAAATAAATTAGAGTGTACTTTCTATGTTCTTTTGTCTGATGAAATTGACCAAACAAAAAGTTGCAGATTTTTTTCATTCAGGGGCTTATGGATATATGACCCAAATGACTGATAAAACTTTTCTGTAGTAAATGTGTTATGTACTCATTGCTAAGTTGTAGCTTGGAGGTTTTGGGGTTTTTTGTTGTTGTTGTTTGTTTGTTTGTACGGGTTTTGTTTTTGTTGCTCTTTTTCCCAGAAAGAATGAGTTCAGTTTTCACATACCTTTCTTGATGTGTAACTAATCCCCTGATTTTAACATTTATTGCTCTTTTCCAGAGTTTTTTGCTTTTCCTTACTTATGAAATGTGCTGAACCAAACTAAATGCAAGATACACAAGGATTATGAAATAACATATTATTCTGTTTTCTCTGCAGCTTAACATTAATATCTCCTGAATGGTGATAGAGGCAGATCAAAAGGCAGGAATCTGCACTTATTTTGAAGTTGTTCCTCCAGGAGGTAACAAATATTTTAAAATCCATTTGTGGCTGAGTTGTCTTCAACAGTTCTTTGCAGTGTGTTTCTCCATACTTCACTTTTAAATTTAATCTGTTATTATGCTGCTCAGTTACTTTTGTGCTAAATCCTCTAGATACTCTCCTCTACTCTTCTTGTGTCCTAATAAATGCATTAATCATCTCTGTTCTAAGAACCAAAAGTCTGATTGTTTACGAGATGTGTAAAGGTGGAACAGAAAGTGAGCATCCTCTCCTAATGGAAAGTAATCTCTCTGACTCGCTGTCACATCATTTTCCTTATATACTCTTGGTAGCCACTGACCTTTGTACTCTGAATACTTTCACAGAAAATAGTGCACTGCTGTGGCACTGTGTCCTGACTGGCCTCCTAAAGATCTCACACATGAAGAAAGTAATCAGGGATTTACATTTCTGCCATGATTCTTTGCTAGTATCTCTTCCTGTAACGGAAAGTCTAGTGGATAATGACTAGCTGGAAGTATGGGTCTGTTTGAGCCCTATATTCAATGTATGATCCTAGCAGTCTCCTGAACTCTGGTATTTGCTTGAAGGGAGAGGGGAATATATCTCATCTCTTAATGGGACAGCCTGCAAGACTGCAATGAAAAAAAATCTCAGTGAAAAATACAATGGCATTTTGCTTCCTCTTCAGGTCCTGTGTGGGAAACAACTGAATAATCCCTCATTTAATTAAGCAGTTAAAAAACCGTAATGAGTGCTCATGTGCTGTTTCTGCTTCTCTAAGCCCACTTGGCTGCAGCTTCTTAAGTTATTCATTGAACCAATATTAACTATGTTCCTGAATTCTGGGTAGTGGCAATATTAATCTGTCAGCACACAGAAAATAGCAATTTGAGCTTATTATTTGCATTCTTTTTGCAAAGCCAGTTGCTAATCCATGAGAGAGCTTTCCACTAAAGTTTCCTTTGCTGCTTTCTTATTTTCAAAAGGCTTTGAAAAAAATTATTAAGATGCTTAAATATTGCATTTGGGGACTTTTTTGTTTGGTTGATTTTTGTTCACACTTTTCAGGAATCCTAAACAGCTCAGTAAGCATAGCACAGCAGCAGAGCTGTTCTGTCCCTATCTCTTGCTCCTAACTATTTTTATAACCACGAAGCTAATGCCCGCTATTAATCCTTAGCTACTATATTGACCACTTGCAGCCATCTAGGGATAACTCCTAATAACAGATTACATGTTTTCTGTAGCTTACCTGCTTCATTCTAAAGCTCCTCCAAAGCCCTGCAGGGAATGCTAATTCTTCCTCTACCAGTCTTCACTGCAGTTTAAATACAGTCTCTATGGCTTTTGCTGTTCTCTTAAATATTCCTGTCTTAGTGAGTAAAAAAGGAGAGAGAAGAGTCTGAAATACAAGCCACAATAGGTCTGACATGGGAGTGTAGTCTTGGGGAGGCCACAGTCAACCTTAGAGCATGGAGGGTTTGGGAATGTGCTGTGCACGGACAAAGAGACTCCACAGCTCACAAGCATTGTGTTTGTCCCTGTGTGTGCATGGTAGTGCTGACATTACTGGCATTTGACTCCCTGCAGAGCAGCAGAGGGTCCTTTTGACCTGGAAGCTTGGTGCTTGTGAGGGCCTCCGAAGGGCCTTACTGGGTCACTTATAATCCCCAGCTGTTGCTGGCAACCATGTCATAGCTCTTTTCGTAAACTAGTTGGGTCCATTCTAAAGCAGCCTGTTTTCTGATCCTCTCCTCATCTATTTGAAGAGCTAATCCTGAACCTCCCTGCTGTGACCGTTAGAAATCATCTTGTGATTCCCAGCCTAAGTCTATTCCCAGTCAGACTGTAACGCTCATTTATGAATCTGTCTGGCCTTTAATGAACCAGCTGTTTCCCTAACTAGTGTTTATCCCACTAATGTGTTTCTCAAGAAGTCATGTTTTCACAGCCTGTAGACCAAAACAAGCTCTTCTAGTCTTCTCAAATAGGCTGCACATGTCGTGCGCTACCCTAGCTGGTCTTCTCTTTACTGTTTGAATTTATTGTGGTTCTCTAGGAAAGGACAGACAGTTTGTATTGAGGTGCTTTTTATTTGTTACTGTATTTTTAAAGGACCAAGGAATGTGTCAGTTAAAGAAATAAAAA